TGTGTGCCCTGTGATGGACTGGTGTCCCGTCCAGGGTGTACCCCGCCTTGTGGCCGTCGCATGCTGGGATAGCAGGGCTCCCCTGCTCAAGGTTTCACACAAAAGCTACTGAACGAGGGCTGTGATTGCGAGCCCGGCTCGACCGCTCCTGTAGACACAGAAAGCAAGTTTTTATTTTTTAATTTTGTTGTTGTTGTTTTCGGGAGAGGCGAAAGACGGGACGGGCCAGTCGGGGCTGGAAGAAGGAGGACTGACCTGGAGAGGGAGGGGGGGAATGACCGGACCGGCTCAGCCGAAAAAGGGAATGTCCCCCTGGACCACAGCCCCGTCCCGTCACATCAAAGTCCAGTTATCCAGCCGCCTTCCTCCCGGTGAAGAAACACCTGTAGCCGCCTGACAAGTCCCTTAAACCCAGGTTCACCATTTTCTAAAGCTCCGTCTGTGTGAGTGCAGTCCAGCCCCTCCTCGGCCTGACTTCACTCGCTAGTTGGAGAAACTCTACCCGCTGTGAAATGACAGCAGCAGCAACAACAACAACAACAACAACAAAAAACTCGGTTGCTTCACGTTTGACGTGATAACGTCAGCCGAAACGCGTTTCAACGATTTCCAGTGCAGAAAATCGTATTTTTTTTATCGGCAAATTTACCGGTACATTTTTTTTTTTAAGCGGGAAAAAAAAAACCCGGGCAAGACGATATCGCCCCACAATCCCGTGCGAGCCGCGTCCGTTGGTGACGAATCCCGCTGAAATCGGACGTTTTTATCTCTTTACAGTTTGGACAGCTCTTTCAAGTATGAAATTCTTGTCAATGAACTGTTACCAAGCGTTTCCGAGTATCAAAATCGAAGTCACGACACGACGAAGTACGCCATTCCGTCAACGTCGAAAATCGTCCGGTAAGCGCCATATTTGCTATCTTTTATCTTCTTAATTTTAAGCGTTTTGACGTGTATTCTTCCAACAGCGTGCTTGACTCCGCTGTCCCGGGGTTCACTCATTTAATTGCTGGGGGAGAGGCGAGTTTTGCATTGGTTCGGTAAATTTAAAAAGAATTAGACTCGGGAATGATGTGTCTGCTGTGGAAACCGGCCCACGCAGTGCTGGTGTGGTATTTAATAATAATAATAATAATAATAATAATAATAATAATAATA